GCCTGCATATCCATAGACACTATGGGCAATCTAGCATAGCCAATCCACCTAAGCTGCACATATTTGGACAGTGGGAGGACCCGGAAGAAACCCACACAGACACGGGTAGAACGTGCAAACTCCACACAGACAGTTGCCCGAGGGTGGAATCGAACCCGGGTCCCTGGCGCTGTGATGCAGCAGTGCTAGCCACTGAGCCACCATGCCGCCTGTCATGTCTGATTCCAGCCCCATTTTTCGTGCACCATTAAAGAACAACTCACTGCTCAGCAGATAACTGTCAGCAACACTTGCGCCCACAGCATCTTTGAAAGGCAATGTAATGACTTCAAAGCCATAAATGGTCAAATAGCCAACACATCTGACACTGGTTCACACATACAACCCTATTCCCTCACTCTAAGCAGTGGAGAATATCACATACAGGCAATCAATCAAACAAATGCAAACATGAACTTTTATTAACAGGCAGCAAAGGTAACCAAGAGCGAGCAAGCTGCCCTGAGATGGAGCTGGATCCAATCCTGCGGTTGGGTGCCTGTCCTTGCTGCACCTTTTCGACGTAAGCTGCTGGCGTGCTCTGCAGCGTGGGTCTGTACTTCCTAATTGGCCTGCCAGTGGATCAGAGAGTGCAGTGCCATGGTCTTGAGGACAGATACCACATGGTGACCATGCATGGTGCCCTGAGATGCTGGCTAGTTGTAAGCAACATGGAGGTTCTTTGAGTGGTGAGCTGAATCCACCAGATCTGCTCCGATTTCTATGTTGGGTTTTCTTGACGTCTAGCATATTTAGCCAGTTTGATAGGATAGGGAACTCAGTATTACTGAGGCAAGTTGAACAGAATAGAATAGTAATTTATTTCACTTTATTAACAAAGCATTTAACAAGCTATTATTTCCCCTAAATTGGCAACTCTCAACTGACCATGAGAAACTTGCCGTACTGTTTGTCAAAATACATAAAAGATGGAGCAAATGGACAGTGTTCAAATCCCAGCTGACCCAGACATGTGTGTTGACATGCCCGAACATTTTAGACTAGAAAAATCTAAAAGATGGAGTGAGATGCTCTCAACATTGAGATGAGCCTCAGTAGACTTTGTATCTGATCAAATTGCGCTATAGTCCATATTGCTCTGACCGCTATAAGATTCTTCCCATTAACACTGTTTCTCTCAGATATGCTGTCAGCCTGTTGAGTTTCTCCAGCATATTCTGTTTTAGTTTTAGATTCCCAGCATTCACAGTACTTTACTCTCATTTGTAAGTTATTTGAAATGCTTGTAGAGCCAAAAATGCTAGATAAACACTCCAACATTACCAGTAGAACAGATTCTGTTTATCAAGTTGATGTCTTCAATCAAGTACTGTGATTTAAGGTGGGGTTTTAATGTTTAATATTCCTTTTGAAAAGGCATCCTTCAATCAAATAATTTTGTTAAAGGATTCACAACAGTGATTGAGCTATCATCAGTTACTCACTATGTATCTTTGGACATTGGGCAGGTTTTCAATATGTTTCTTTCATACACTTTAATTTAACCTTCATGACAGTAATTATTACTAAAGATTTAAATGATATGCAATTGCATATTCATGATTTTTGCAAAATAGCTATTACATTTTTCCTAACACATACAGTCTTCACTAGTTGTGATACTTTACTCCAAAATGTTTAATTTTAATATTTTCATTAGGTATTTTCAGCCTGCCAATAGAGCATAAAACAGGTATTACAAATTGACAATAGAAATAGGAAGTAAATTTGGGCCAATGCTATTATGGATGGACAGTCTACAAGATGAGAGTTACGGAGGGCAACATGTTGAAACCCTGCCCCAGAACAGTTTATATGTAGTCTTGAAGCAGAAATCTGTAATTTAAGTGGCTCTTACATGTTCTTGAAGGAACTTGCAGAACTGGAAGATCGTTACCTGTTACTTTGCAAAATAATCCTCATATATTTGACACTTCTGTAATTGTGTGCCAATTATTGTGATGACAATTTTAGGGTTTCATTTCTGGATCAGCAACACTATCCAGACTTTAAAATAGTTGCATTATTTAATGTGCTGACATAAGGAAACAAATCATGCTTAGCCCTTTGTTTCCAATATTACAACTCAGTGAAGCAAATAACTAACTGGGGAATAAAATGGGATCTCCTCAATGCTGCTCGCAGTTCAGAAATGCAGATGAAAAGATCTGCAAGTACAAGTTATATAATTTTAATTATAAATCATTATATATTACAATATTAGGAAGTCTAATGGAATGTTAACCTTTATTGCAAGAGGATTTGAATATCGAAGTAATGAAGTCTTGCTTCAATTGTGTAGGAGCTCAGTTAGCCAGCACCTGGAGAACTGTGTGCAGTTGTGGTGTCCTTACCTCAAGAAAGATATAGCCTTAAGAGAGAGCAACACAGGTTCGCATGGTGTGTTCCTAGGATGGCAGGACTGTCTTATGAATTGAGGTTGGGCAAAGTGGGTCTGTATTCTCGAGAAGAATGAGGGGTGATCACATTAAAATGTATGAAATACTTAAACCAACAGGCAGGGTAGGTGCAGGTAAAATCTTCTGATTGGGGAGTCCAAAACCATGGAGTACAGTTTAAAGATAAAGAGGATGCCACACAGGTCTGAGTTGAGGAAAAACTATTTTACACGAGTTTAGAGTTCTCTACAATAGAGGCCTGTGGAGACTTAGTATTTGAGTATGTTTATGGTAGAAATTTAAAAGTTTCTAATTACCAATGGTTTACAGGATTATTGGGATGGAGTGAGCAGAAGACATTAAAGTGTTTGATCAGATATGATCCCATTGAATGGTGAGGCAGGCTCAATGGACTGAATTATCCTCTCCTGTTTCTATAAACATTGGAAAGTTGGATACTCATCCTTAAACAAGAATAAAAACAGAAAAATATCAGATATACCGAGCAAATCTGGCAGCATCTGTAGAGAGAAAGAGACGGAGTTAGCATTCATTGTTTACTCGACTTCTCTCTCTACAGCTTGTTGTAAAACCAGGTGAATATTTCAAATTTACAGCAGTATTTTGTTTTTGTTTCTCTAATTAATGATAACAAACACAGAATGATAAAAGGCAAGTTAAATCTGACAAATATAATAAAATTCATTGAGAAAATAGTGGGATATAATGATAAAGGAAATGCAGTAAAAGCTGTGAGCATGTACTTTCAAAAAGTAGTTAATGATGCTGAGAGGCTTCTTAATATAATTAATTAAGTAACTAATTAATTGAATTGGTTTTAAAAGCAGTATGATCTTATTGTAGAAAATGTGCTAAGGACATATAAAATGAAGTTGTGATTCATGGATTAGACGAATGTAAATAGTAAATTCAACAGCAAATATAAATTCACTTGGGATCCATATAGAGGAAATTGATTTCTTAACATAAAAAACGGTCTCAAGTTAGGTTTAAAGATTGAATAACAAAATTCTAAAATCAGGTAAAAATAAGGAGTTGAATTAACTAATAAAATGAACTCTTAGTAACTTCAGCACGGTATAGACTAGCTAGCAGATTGAACACCTTGCTACCTGATGAAATTTCGCTATCAGCCTTGGTCCCCTTGACAACACCAGACAGTGCTCATCTCTTTACGCAACCTGGATAGTGTTCATCCTTTTCACACTCCCCTCTCTCCTGACTCATCTTGTGGAGAACACTATCGAGGGTTCAGGAAGGGAGGAGGCCACAGTCAAGGGAGTTCTTTTATATGAACTCCGGACATCAGAATTTTGTGAACAGTTCTGATGAAGGGTCACTGAACTCAAAACATGAATTTTGTTTTTATCTCAACAGATGCTGCCAGACCTGCTGAGTTTCTCTAGTACTTTGTCCATATCAAACAGCATCCACAGTTCTGTTTTATTATAAGAGTGCAGGCAGCTTGCTTAAGACAATGCCAAGGATAAGAGACTTTAGTTCTGAGGAGATACTAAGGAAATTGTGACTCTTGCTAACAGAATATAAATAAAGAGGATATTGGATAAATATTTCCAACATTATGAGAAATTTTAATAAAATAAAACTTTTGTCAGTGGTTGGTGAGACAATAACTGAACGGCATCAAAAAGAAAGTTTAGGAAAATTATTTTTTTTCATGAGGATTATTAGGACATGGAATTTTCTACTTGATACTGTGGTGTAAGGAAGTTCCATAATTAAGCTGATAAATATTTAAGAACAAACTTAAGGCATGGTGGAATGGCTGTGAAGTCAAAGTAAGTACTTAACTATTTCAGGCAATCAACATGAGACTAAATGGAATGAATGGGCTGATGTAATTCTGTAACTTATGCTTTCTTTGATGTAGGAAATTCTAAACTTATATAACAAGGTGTAGAGCTGGATGAACACAGCAGGCCAAGCAGCATCAGAGGAGCAGGAAAGCTGACATTTTGGGTC